TAGCCATGATTTGGGATACCCTACCGAGGCATCCTCGACATGTCGCGAGCCGTACAGATCGACTTTTGAGGCACGATGGGGGAATACTGAAAGTTATAGATTCAGAATAATCTCGACACATACATTGACTTCGTGTAGACATTCCCCCGTCCGTCCTGCGACGGAGTCTGGTCGCCTGCCCCATGGGGGAAACCAATCGTTCCCCCAGGTTTATTAACTCACAGGTTGGTAGTCATATCGTGACACACTTCATACTGTTAGTATGGGAAAATGAATGTGATATGTACATGTAGCTCGATTTTCATATCTGATACACATACTATACCGGTCGCCCCGGTGGTCTAGTGGGAAACCTCGCAGCCTGCTAAGGGCCAAGTCATGGGTTCGAGTCCCGGTAGAGTGGGTCTTTTTCGCACTAAATAAATCCTGGTCTAGGATGAAAGCGACGCGCTGCGAAGATCGTTTGTTACTAAACCATAATCGACTTCGTATGTCGCGAGGGAAGGGATTGCTGTACCCTTTTCGCGATCAAAATACCTCAGGCAGGAACCGCAGGAGGGGGTCCAGCTTCCCCCTCCTATGTGACCCCAGTTGGGTCGTCTAGCTAGTAGAAGTGGGGGATAGGGGCCAGCGGGGCAGACGGCACAATCCGATGATGGGAGAAAAAAAAAAAAAGTAACGTTTACCTACGGCGACGAACATGACTGGATGGGATACCCCGTGCGACGACGAAGCATACTTCAATGCGATACGAACAACCGTGTGCGTGCCATCACCTGTCACATGATGATACCCACTAACAGATACACGTATAGGTGTCACCACATTGTAGTCGCCGCGCAAAGGGACCCCTTGGGAATATGTCCTACCTGGCACTACTGGACTACAGTATATTCATGAAAACCGAAACGTAACTATTATTGACACGGCAACATCTGCTCACTCCACTGCCGTGGCAGCATTGTTCCTATACTCGAGTCAGGGCGGAGCTCCTCCTGTCGATGAAAGTTGCTGCACGCTGCGGCAGTGTTCACAAGTGTTCGGCTTATTATGTCTTTCGCCTTTCCGGGCGCCGCTTTGGGTCGTGCGGAGTGTGGCGATACCTCTTTTGCTCCGTGCATACGAGTCTATGTACCCGAAGGCTCTGTGCTTCATAGCTCCACGCCCCATACATTACCCGACTTCTCCATTCATATCGCTGGGCGTGAACGCTTCTTTGTGCTGCCCAGTACCGCCTGCTCGTTTGGATTGTGTCGTATACCTTGTCGTGTGCCGCTTTGGATCTGCCAAACGTTGCGATATGTCTGTCTCTGTTCGTGAGTCTAGTGTACATGGCCACGGCTATGCAAATATGATTGGCCCTGCGTAGCTCCACATGTGGCTTCCTCCTCTCTTGATGCACATCGCTGGGTGTGAACGTTTCTTTACGCTGCCCAATACCGACTGATATGTCGTGGACCTTTGTCGTGTATTGCTTTGGATATTCCAGACCGTAGCGCCCTCCTTGTGTGTATGCATAGTCTAAGTATCCAGAGCTATTTACATGGCGTACGTTGGTTGTCAGCCGTAGTTTCACATACGTATTGCCTTCCTCTTCGTTCATGCATCTCGCTGGGCATCAACGATTCTTCGTGCTGCCCAGTACCGACTGCGCGTATGGGTTTGAGGCTGTATCAGGAACTGCCTGCTAATAACTGCTGCTGTCGACTATGCTGCAATGCACCAAGTATACTGCACGGCGACTCTTCTACTGGGTTGCCAGTCGTCCCTACTTCAAGTAAGAGTGTGTGCACCACTAGTCACAATTAGTCTACGGAGTTCTCGAACAACAAGTTTTGATTCGATTACCCCGAGGATCATAGTGATCGTCGTTTTTATCACCCCGAGGGTCGAAGTCCGCTGGATCTTGAGGAACTTGCATTTTGCCTGTACTGTATGAGATTTGTTTACATCATGCTTTTTTTTTTCAACAACAGCAGTTGCTGGTTGGTCGGACAACTGCTCGGCTCCTTTTTCGTATAGTCTATGTACATGTAGACTCAAGACATTTTATCTTGTATCTTGGGTTGCCAGTTACATATATATCGACTACGTACGGTCGTCGTCCTTCTTCTTCACATACTCGTATTTACTTGACTTTCTTCCAAACCCCCACCGCCATCCGCTCGTTATGGCCCCCTGCCCCATTGGGGGGCGGGGAGCCAATTCTTAAATCTAGTAACAATATCCTGAACAAATTGGCCAGTACTTGGTAGATTGAGGTTGGTGTGTTGACCCCTCACAGGTTCGGCAACCACAAGAATGCGCACTTGATCTAGCACCAAAAGAGAAGCAGTGCACATAGTCTACACTACCCTCGCTTCAGACTGAGATTTCATCGGTGGCTTATTATGTGTACGCCGCCACGAAAAGTGTGACAGGCAGTATTGATGTATTTAGTACTGGTAGTACTGTACCTATCTATATGACAATACATGCATGCAGTCGACACCAGGAACTACAGATGGGGCCCGGAGATAAGAAACGTCAATATCGGGTAGAGCCTCAATTTCATATTCTGGGCAGAAGGCCCAGCCGAAGTCCGTCAATTTCATTAAGTGGATTTCCTATTACTTTTGGGCAGTCGCATCCTGCTGATTCTCCTATTCCGTAAGTGCTTGAGCCGTTATTTCTGAACATAATTTTTCTCAACTGCTGATGATAAGGAGGTAGACCACTCAGCAACCCGGTAAAAGGTTAACCATTTACCTGGCTGAGACAGGACCTTATAAAACTGACTCCATCTGTACAACACGACTGTTCGCCTGTGAAAGCCCGAGAGAGCGTTCTCAGCGCCTAAGAAAATGATAAGCAAGCGCGATTTGCAGCAATTTTCTGCTGTACTCTCCGCTTGGAACTGCTGTGAACGGGTCTGCACAAAAAGGTGTTGCGTGGAACCATGTAGTTTATGCAGCTACAGGTAGGTGTACATACCGAAGAAGGCGGAAAATTATGGCTGAAGGGGGGAGAACCGCGGTGCGAGCCGCAAGTGTCTCTCAAGCACACTACAACCAATTATGCTAGCTCGACCCAGGGCCAACGGTGCGATTGCGAATTAATGCCCCGTGACATATATATATATCTATTCCGTATATGACACAAGATGACACACCCCGTTGACCAATTTTCGAAGCTCGATTTCTCAACTGCAGGCACAGTCACAGCGCCGAAAACGGCGGCGTTCAAACCGTCTCGTCGAGAGCTTTTCGAAAATGTATCGTTTCGTTGATGCATTCTCTTCGTCGTGGAGTAATCGAGCTTGGAAAATCGGTTCAGGGGGTGTGTTATCTTGTGTCATATACGGTATATGTGTGCGAGCATGCGAACGGTGCGATTGCAAATTCATATCCTGCGATGAACTAACTATGCAAGGGTCTGTGCGAAAAATATTCCGGACACATAGTCTAGGCCCTAGTCTACCCCCCTGGCGAGAAATTCGAAAAATTACCACGAATCGCCGAAAAGCTACCATGAGGTTTAGATGGATTGCAAACATGCCTCGCTCTCGTTGCTCCTTCCGCATCTGCTCGTCAGAAGCTGGCCAATGCTCAGCCGTGCTACAGGAACACACGTTCGGTAGCGCCCCATTCCTACAAAAGTACATAGTACATTCGGCCAAAGCTCGAACTGAGCGAAGCAGCTCAGCTATAACCATCCAACACAACCACCTAACTAACTTGCAAATTGCCGTTGCCGCTTCTAGCAACGCACAACAACAGGGGACAAAGTCTCGCAAATCTACTCGCAGCCTTGGTCTTGGTGGGTTACGTTTGACTTGATCAATCTAACCCTAGCCCTAGCCCTAGCCCTAACCTAACGACACCTCGGGGGAAAACCCGGGGATACATGGGTATATGCCCCCCCCCTTACAACTGTCTCAGGAAGTTAAAGCACCAGAAAATAAAGCAAGTCATACGCAGCTGTCATCCGTACGCAAGGAAGTTAAGCACAAGATGTCGAACACCCTTAGCAGGATGCAGCGCACCCTTCATGCGACTCGCCGAATATCTCACGGCGCTTCGGGCTTGGTGATGTGAGAACCTGGTCCGGTGAGAACCCGGCGTGCTCCGTCCCGGCCTTGATGGGATGCGAGGTCAATGGTCTAACGACTACGGCATGCACGACTGTGTATGAGTTGTCTACACCCCCGCCCCCCCCAAATCACGCCCCGCAAGGAGAGAGGCTCGCTCGCATGCTCTTCCTCCGAGTGTGTTGGCGGAATCACGTTGATCCCCCCACGCCCGGTGTTTGCCATCGGGGTTGGGTTTTCGTCGCTTGGCAACGACG